TGGGTAACATTTTTTTATATCCTATAATGCAATGCATAGACATTATAAGGTATAAAAAAACATGACTAGTCAGCTCCACTTGAAATCTTTTCAGCTAACAACAGCAGCTGCCCCTGCAGTCAAGGATCCATCAAGAAGAGGTGAAATTTCATCCTCCAGTTAGGACTAATTCTTCTGTCTCTAGAAACATGACTGTTTTCTTTGAAGAAAAAAAGATAAACTGTTTAAAAATAATCCAAATGACCTAAGTAGAAATGAGCAATAATTGCAGATGTCCAAAATGGCAGTGTAAAAACGTTTAAGTAACCATTAGCATCTGGGGGAAAAATAGTGAGAAGGAAAAAGAAATGGGGGCCATTAGGATGCTTTTTCTTATGGGTTTTTAAAATCTCTTTTTGTTTATTTTGTTTTTTTTAAATATATATATAAAAACTTCAACATTCACTTTAGCAAAGGTGTTGCTAAAGTTAGACAGGATGTTTAATTCTGACTCTGCCTCATTTTTATGATAAGTGATATGATTAGATTAATATGTTTTTCAAGCTTGAGGCCTAGCAATCAACTACTAGATGTTATTCCCTATTGAAGTTCAGACCTATTTTAAAATCAGTGAATTAGTATCATTTATGAAATTCTAATTCAGCTCATTTAATTAAACTCATTATGTTGCAGTTGACATGGAGTGGCCTTCCGCCATATTTTAAAAGATGCAATTTCTCAAAAAATTATTAAAGGAATCCTTCAGCCATTTCAGCAGGAACCCAAATGATATTTTTATCAGGTCCTTTTAGCCATCTCGGTCAATTTCTGTTTCCTTTAGGTACTTGCAGTAGGTTGTGGTAGGAAGGTTTATAGTTACTGTTGGTTTTCCAGCTCAAAGTGGTTGTAAACCAAAATTGCATTTAATATGTGGCTGCAAAAATAAGGAAACCTAACTTGGGATGGTTTGGTCCCTCTGACTCTTGATATGGGTTTCTTCCCCCTTAATCAATGCTACTTCTGAGAAGAACATCTTTGGTAAATATTGCCACCAGCTACTTTTCCCCAATAAAATCCTCTCTAGTACTGAGTTATTTAGTAGATGAAGTGGCAAGGTGGCAATGATCTTATCCTGGTTTTCTTCCTTTTGTAGCCTAACTGTATGGGGAGACGTATGTGCTAAAGTTAAAATCCTTTCAGAATGAGACTCACTGTTTCAATAAAAAATCAAGGCTTTATTGTTCATATGAAGGTTAAAGAGCTAAAGTGGAATTGGAAAAAAGAGAAAAGGGAGAGAAAGAGAAAGTAACAATGCTTTCAGCCAGGAACATGAATGCATCTACACAGAACAACAGAACAACATAGAGCAAAAGCATGACAGCTGAAATATTCTTTCTATAAAAAAAGAGCCAGAATTCTCAAAAGCATCTAGCTCCACTATTCTGTAGTGTGATAGGATTTTCCCTGGATCTCTAACCCATCTTGTGGATGGTGGCACTGCTTACCTTTGAGCCAGTTTGGGAAGAGATACAGGAAAGGAAATAAATAAGCAGAATCCATAGATCTGCCTCTCCCTTTTTTAGGTTAGCTCTTTCATGTTTGATTTTTATGAGTTTTGAAAGTTGTTGCCCATTTATTTGGGCTGACAGATCAGGTATTCTTTTAACCCTTTCAGAGGCTGAACTTCTTTGAATGGAATCTTCTCATTATTTGTATCTACATAATTTACAGGAAAAGTAAGTTTTCTAGGAGCCTAAAAACAAGTTCAGGGATAGTATGCATCTATGAGGCTGCAAGTTGCCCTCTTGTATGTATATTAGTGCAACATAAATCCCTGACACAAGATCCTCGGAGCTGTTTTTTTGGAAGAGCAGCTGCATCAATGCATGACATGTAGAATTTTTGGATGCAGAGAAAAACGCAGCCTAAAACAGCATAAATATGTGAAAGATAACACTGAAAACGCGTTGAAGTTTGACAGCTTCCTCCTTCCGTTATGTATTCAAGATGGATAGTGATTAATATTTATATATGTTACTTATATGTAAGGATGTAGGTCTATACGTATGTTGTATATAGTAGGTTTAAATGTGTGTTATGTATGTGTACACTTTGAGAGCAAGAAACTAAATTTCATTTTTAATGTATTGTATTAAAAATGTAAAAAATGACAATAAAGGTTATCTGTCTATCTGTCTATCTATCTATCTTTAGTGAGCTAATGCCAGTTTTGTGAACGTTAATTTTCAAAATTGATACTGGAAATCAAATATCTCCCACATCTAACTCTTCACAGCTGTTAGACAAAATAAAATAAAATAAAATAAACTCTAGAAAGCATACAGAGAAGAGCAACCAAGATGATCAAGGGACTGGAGGCTAAAACATATAAGGAATGGTTGCTGGAATTGGGTATGTCTAGTTTAATAAAGAGAAGGACGAGGGGGGACATGATAGCAGTGTTCTAATATCTCAGGGGCTGCCACAAAGAAGAGGGAGTCAAGCTATTTTCCAAAGCACCTGAAGGCAGGATAAGAAGCAACGGATGGAAACTAATCAAGGAGAGAAGCAACCTAGAACTAAGGAGAAACTTCCTGACAGTTAGAACAATTAACCAGTGGAACAACCTGCCTCCAGAAGCTGTGAATGCTCCAACACTGGAAGTTTTAAAGAAGAGACTGGACAGCCATTTGTCTGAAATGGTATAGGGTTTCCTGCCTGAGCAGGGGGTTGGACTAGATGACCTCCAAGGTCCTTTCCAACTTTATTATTATTGCTGTTGTTATTATTATTATTAAACCCCAAACCCCATAGGTTTGTAAGATTGTTGTAGATTGGAAACTTTATTGCTTCTTTTCTTATTTGAGGATCTATGCTGGACATCTTACTTAGTGGCAATTATAAATAAGAACAATTACTGCATGCCTGAAAGAGAAATCATCATATTTGGATTTAACAATTTGTTAATTTTTAGAAGGAATTATTTGGTAGTTTGGAGGCCTTAAGAAGTCTCTCTCTCTCTCTCTCTCTCTCTCTCTCTCTCTCTCTCTCTCTCTTTATTCTGTTGATTTTTTAGCCCATTAAATTACTAAATTAAATTTAGCCCACTCAAGAATAGATTATACCATCAGTAGGGTCAAGCAGTATCTATTTATCTGACTTGTGCTATTTTAGATTGTAGACAGAGAACTGCAGTCTAAATTCTCTGTTATAAAATATTCTTCTGACAATTAGAAACCTTTTAAAAAGCAAGATTCCACCTAGCTGAGAGATGTTCAAGAATGGAATCAGCAGCCTAAAGGTGTCCCCCATCTGAGTTTTCAAGAAGAGGCTTGGTTCCTTCTGTCGGGAATATGCTCCAGCTCTTAATCTCCTAAATCTAGCTAAATTTGTATAGACTATTAGACTTCCTCAGAATCCTTTCTTAAATGTAACCCTCTCCATTATTCACTCCTTATTAGGCTGTCTCTTATGGTCGCATCATATTTTTCCGCCATTCAGCCTTCTTTTTTCGTTGTTGCATAATTGGTCTTTCTTTGTAGAGAATGTAATTGGTTGTGTCTGTAGCATAAGTTGTAATTATCATTCTCAGAACAGAATAATGATTATTTTGAGGTTTTTCTATCTGGGTATTTAGCATCTTGTCCTAATTTTTGAAACACAGTGAGATCTCAATCAATTCCATCTTAAGTGGTTAAACTTTTATTTTTATCAGCTTACAATGCTTTTTGCAGCTTTGATGACACAGAAGTTATCAGAAGAGCTTATGAAACATTAATCTTTGCGTCTACATCTTGGTATTATTTGGTTGTATTATTCCAAATTACTTCAAGTTTGCAGCTTTGATGCAAATAAGAAGGCTCTAAAGACAACATACAATCCTGTTTTTAAAAAGCTTGTGAAGTTTTTTTTTGTTATTCAAAAGTTTATTTAATGAAGTGGAACAGTGAGACAGTCAGCATGAATAAAAGAAAGTGCATCCTTAATCCTTGAAATGGTACAATGGTATAAGTTATAAGGATGGATTTTAACTTAAGCAGTTCAAAAAGCATTAGGGAAGATAATGTAATCATCTGTCTTTGAACACTAATTGCTGGATGATATGGGCAAGAGAAAATTTTTGTATTCATTATCTGTTTGTGGGCTTTTCACAGATAACTACCTAGTTTCTCTAAGGAGGAGAGATTACTAAGAGTTGTTCTGATCTTGTACAATTTTTCTTATCTTCTAAAAGTTAATACAGATATCAAATGAGTGATCTTTAACCTGATGATGAAGGAGCAAGGAATGTACAATTGTGATATTCTAGCCACAATAGAAGCATTATTCCATAGCCTAACTATATTATGGCTCAGTGATCTTTCCTGCATATATGCACGTATGCATTTATTTTTTTACTTGCAGCTGACAGATATGGAGGTTGTGAACTGAGTTTTACTTTGGCTATGTGCCCTGCATAGAAATTATAGGATGGATGGATGGAAGGAAGGAAGGAAGGAAGGAAAGAAGCATAGGTCTCCAGTATTGTTAACAGAATAACAGAAAAGAATATGAACTGGAAAGGTTCAACTCCTACAGGAGACCCTATATCAGGGGTCCCCAGCCCCCAGTCCATGGATCGGCACCATTCTATGGCATGCCAGCAACTGTGTCATGCAAACAAGTGAAGGCCCATCCACAGGATGCAGTATGCAAAACCACACCCCCTGCAGTCCAGTGAAAAATCTTTCTCCACTGAACCGGTTCCTGGTGCCCAAAAGCCAAAGGTCTATACCATTCTAGACAAGTGACTGTTTAGTCTCTTCTTAAAAACTTCCAGTGATGGATCACCCACCCACTTCTGAAGGCAAGCTGTTCCACTGGTTAATTGTTCTCACTGTTAAGAAATTTCTCCTTAGTTCTAGGTTGCTTCTTTTCTGGAATAGTTGCTATCCATTGGTTTGATCCATTGGTTTGTTGTTTGATGTACTTTTAAGTAAAAAAAATGTTCTTGATGTGTGTTTCTCTCTCCATTTTTTTAGGGGGTATTTTTGAATGTGTGGAATCTGGTCCAACTGGAGCAATGGGAGCAGAAGAATTGGCCTTTCGATTTGCTGTGAACACAATCAACCGAAACAGAACCCTGCTGCCAAATACTACACTAACATATGACACTCAGAAAATTAATCTCTATGATAGTTTTGAAGCATCTAAAAAAGGTATGTCTTAGAAAGTCTTGGAGCTTGGCTGCCAGACGTTTGGGTAGTTTAAATGTTTAATAAAATAAAAAGGCAAGCAAAGTCACCAAATCCAGAAATTTGTTTAATGAGAGTTCACACCAGGCCAGCGTGACCAAAATACATCTTGGTGAAGTGTGTTGCAGTTTCTACCACACATTAGGGATGCAAAATGCTAAGCAGCCATTATTCATTCATTCTTAATAACAATCTAGGCTGCCAAAGTTCAATTATAAAAAGAGGTGAGAAAAATGAAATTTTCTGATTCAGAAAGGTTTGTTCAGTCATATTAATCTGCCTGACCCTTAAGATCAGTTGGAACAATCCCTTTTGTATAGATCAGGGGTAGTCAACCTTGGCTCTTTTATGACTCGTGGACTTCAACTCCCAGAATTCCGGAGTTGAAGTCCACGAGTCATAAAAGAGCCAAGGTTGACTACCCCTGGTATAGATCAAGGCTTTTCAAAGCCATATAGGAATGAAAAAAACCCCAATTTTTCTGATGCAGCGTTTAATATGTGGGGTTTCTTGCATCCCAAACTTCAGATTTGATCATCTTCTGCATTTAATTATATTGCTGTTTAAATGATTAAATGCTACAAGAGGAGGGAACTTCAGTCCTTCAGAGAATACTAACTGAAACTCCTAGAAAGCCTAGTCAACATGATTAATAGTGATGGATGTTCAGGATTGTAATACTATAAGGCAAAATCTAAAGGGCCCTTTAAAGCAAATTTCAGGAAAAAAAAGCTGTGAGATAGATATCATTGATATGCTGTTTGATTTTTTAAAAATCCCTTCTTTGTCCTATTTATTCATCATTCCTGACAGGTGGTCCTTCAACTTGTAAATATTTCCAAGCAAAGGAAACTTCATTCACCTTCTAATGAATTTCTAAGGCAATCTGTTCCATTTTTTGAACAAGTTTTGCTATTAGGACATTTTGATGTCAAACTGAAATCTGCATTCTTATAGTTTAAAACTTTTCTGGAACAACTCTGAACTATTGTTCCCTGCCCTCTATGTCACAGTTCTTCAGATATCTTAAAATAAGTATCATATATCTCTGGATCTTTTGATTTCCAGGGTAAAAAAAATTACATTATCTTCAATGCTTTCTGACAAGTTTTTCATCCAAAGTTGTTAGCATCTTGGTCAATCTTCTGTGGATAAGTTTTTATGTCCTCACTAAACTGCAATGCCTAGAAAAGAATGCAGTATTTTACCCAAGATCTGACCAAGGCAAAGTGGAAATGAAAAATGATTTTTTTTGATCCGGTTAAATATGTTTTCCTGCAGGGATATTACACTGGTGGCTGATATTCAGCTTGCAATCGAAGATATATAGATTAATTTTACACGTTTGGCTGTCCAGTACAATCCCCTTTATGTCTTTGATATTTTCTATTCAACAGTTAGGTTCTGCTTTTTTTCCTGATGAATTTTATCTTACTTGGTTTCTGGTTACTTGGTTTAAATGGTTTTTGTTCATTTCTTTTGCTTTTTCTAAGTTCCTTGCTATTTCTGCTTCTTTACATCATTTAAAATTTTAATAATACTTTAAAATTTCATTTTTGGTAACATTTTTTCTAACATCGTCCAAGCAGTTTATAAATTTGTTGAACAGCAAAGTCCTACAATGGAGTTCTGTGTTATGCTGTTTGACATTCCAGCTTGACATGGAATCATTGATATATGCCTGTTGGATATGATTGTTCAACCAACACAAAATAGAAGGGAAAAAAGCAAAAGATAAAAAATGCGTACATTGTCAAAGAAATATTTCTCTATCATTATTTTAAAAGCAATAAAAGTATAAATAATAAAAAACACAAAACAGAATAATCAGGGTTTTTTATATACATCTTCATCATAAATAAAGCAATGCATTCTTTCTAGCTTTCTTGTGGATAGAAGTATTTTTATCTCGTTCAGGGAAATAGAAAAAAAATAATTTTAGGAAGTCTTCTTACCCTACTTCAGATTTCAAGGTATTCAAAGAAATACACCAGCTTCAAGGAATATCTGTATAGACATAGTATAGAAATACCATCAGGCCAGAGATGGGGAATCTGTTGAAAAACTGTCCCTCCAGTCCTGCTAATGAAAATCTCTGTTTCTTATAAATGCTACAACCTATAAACCCAAATCGACCATTATCTGCAAAAATACAGATAATGACCAGACAACAGCGAAAAAAAAAAAGACACACAATATGGCTATTCCTTTGGAGATTTCAGTGTGTAATTCTGGAATTATAAACCTAGTGGCTGTCTAGATTTTTGCAGATAACCAGCAGCAAGATAGAGAGTTAAAATAGCAATAAGTGCCCCATTGGAAGAACTGAAGGATGATGTTAGGATTGGATCATTATGGAAGGAATCTGTCTATCTAGTCTCAAGGAGCTGATAAGGACTCAATGGCATAGAATTATAATCATTAATAGCTCTATATGTACTCTGTGACTGGACACTATATTTTTCCTCTGGTACCTTCTACAAGTAATCCCTGAGTTATGAACATTCAATTAACGCTCGTTCAAAGTTACATGATGAGTGCCCCGTAGTGTTTATGAGCAAGTCCTGAAGTTATAAATATTGCAGCACCACAGCAGTCGTTTGCCCTTACAAGTGACTGCAGTGGCTCTGCAACATTTATCCTGGTTATTTCCTCCCTCTCCACTCCCTCCTCAGGTCTCCCTAGGCACCAGGTATTCAATACTCACCCTGTGAAGATTGAGATACTTCACTTTCTTGGCTGCTCCAGGCCTTCGGTGCATTCGCAGAGAATGGAGGCCTAAAGTAATGCAAGATCATGCGAGATCAGTGGGGCGAGATCTCATGCTACTGATCTTGTGTGATCTCATGGTACTTTAGGCCTCTGTTCTGTGCAACAGAGAATGAACTGAAGCTGGGGGATGCTTCCACGTGCCTCCAGAGTCTGGACTGGGGCTCCGGAGGCCTTTTCCAGGATGCCGTGGACCAGATCTAAGGCCAGGGAAGACTTCCATGCCCCCTATGGCCTGATCTGGGCTCCAGAGCCTTTTCCAGGTCACTGCCACCTGGATTTGAGGCCGGGAAATGCTTCTGCAGTCCTCTGCAGCCCGATCGGGCCTGGAAAAGGCCTCCAGAGCCCAGATCGGTCTGTGCAGGGTGCGCGGAAGCATTCCCTGGCCTCAAATCTGGGTGAGAGCAGCCTGGAAAAGGCCTCCAGAGCCTGGATCAGATGGCAGTTCCCCAGCCTCAAATCTGGGCAGCAGCAGGAACTGTGGCAGAGAGGAGACAGATCTTTTCCAGGTGAGTCTGGTGCAGCAGGAAGGGAGGGGGAAGTATGCGGTATCTTAGTGGGCTGGGGAGGCCTTGGGGACCTGTTCCATCACTAGGCCCTCCATGACCTTCCCCACCCTGAGATACCTCATGTTCGCTTAACAAGCCACATGCATTTTAACGAGCAAGGGAGTGACCTTGTACCTTGAATGAGATTCACTCTACGAGTTTTAGAGTCATGAGTGGAATAGTCAGGCTCCATTACACTCGTAACTCGAGGACTGCCTGAAGTCAGTCTTGACTCCTAGTAACTGCCTGGACAAATTTCTGCAGGTTTCTTGGTAAGATTTTTTTCAGAAGTGGTTTGCTATTGCCTCCTCCCTAGGATTAAAAGAGATTGACTGGCCCAAAGTCACTCAGCTGTCTTTATGCTTAAGGCAGGAACTCGGAATCTCCCAATTTCTAGCCTGATGCCTTAACCACTACACCAAACTGACTCTCTTAACATGAATAATAATTAAATATAACACTCCTTCCTTCCTTCCTTCCTTCCTTCCTTCCTTCCTTCCTTCCTTCCTTCCTTCCTTCCTCCCTCCCTCCCTCCCTCCCTCCCTCCCTCCCTCCTCCCTCCCTTCCTCCTTCCTTCCTCCCTCCCTCCCTCCTTCTGAAGGAGTGCTTATTCTTTATGGAGTGCTTATTCTTTATGGAGTGTAAACTTTCTTTTTTTCAGCTTGTGACCAGCTGTCATTGGGAGTAGCAGCTATCTTTGGCCCTTCCCACAGCTCTTCAGCAAATGCAGTGCAATCCATCTGCAATGCTCTGGGGGTTCCACATATACAGACTCGCTGGAAGCATCAGGTTTCAGACAACAAAGACTCATTTTATGTCAGTCTTTATCCAGATTTTTCTTCACTCAGTCGTGCCATCCTTGACCTTGTGCAATTCTTCAAGTGGAAAACAGTCACAGTGGTTTATGATGACAGCACAGGTAAGCACAATTCTGGTACTTACATCTGCAGATACTCTTAATACAATATGTATAATCCTTTAACTAACAGAAGAATTATAGCTTAGTGCATGTGATCCGTTTGCCTGAAAATACAGTGAGATGTTGCAAACTACAGTATAACATCAAAAGATTTTACCTATATTCTTTCTACACAGAAAGCTATCAGTAAGTGCGCTGTATTCTGTATATTTAATCTGCATCCAGAGAGAAAAGGAGAGAATTTTTCACCATAAATGTGTTTATCTAAGTGTCTTGACTGAAGAAAAACATATGAAAATTTCATGAGAGCTATCTTTTGCTATTTTAGCTGAAAAACAAATCAGAAAGAATTTGTAGTACCTAGAGTAGAATCTCTTTTATAAACCATCTTGTGAACCCAGTTATTTACATTTTATTGAAAGATTTATCATTTATCATTTCAAACCTGCAATTTGTTTTTATAAAGGGTATAAGCAAATAAGTTTTGACATGCTTATCCAGCATGGAGTGGGGATCAGAGAGGGAATTTCAAAATATTCAGTCACAAAAGGAGTTTCAACATGGACACCCACTTTTCCATTGGCTATGTACTGCCATTGACACAACTCTCTGTGTTAAATACAAATGTAAATGGACAACTGTCTCTGACTATGAAAACCAAGCTTCACCCATGGAGTTCTGTTTGGCTTGAAAAAGATCTCAAATTCACACTGGAGATACCAAGTTGAGTTCTTAGCATATCTAAGTGTGAGAAAGAGTCTGGCTAGGAATTAGAAGGAAAGGACCACTTCAAAGAAAAACAAGCAAGTCCAGTTGCCTCTTGAAAAAGCACCTTTGAGACAAAGGACCACTCTATTTAATCACCTGCTTTTGGGGATTCCTTCTATTGTAGTAAATGTTCATATTCATATCTTCAGGAGTTGGACAAATGATTAAATATATGTTATGGCATTGCAACAAATATGTGCTATGGCATTGCAACACAGACACCATCCCTTTGGCTTGTGTGTGAAATATTGGCCTGCAGGTTTGAAAGAATGGAGTTTGTATTGTGATAGCCTTGTGAGGTAGTCCAGATAAGGAGCACAACCAGGAACCCTAGCTCTACATTTATTGTATGGCTATATTAAAAATATCTGGCAAGTCTGAAAGTAATCTCTCTCATCCCAAGATCTCATTGAAGGCAAATATATGTGTCCCAAAGTAATGTTGCAGATCAAATCTGGGTTGGTCACCAGGACCAGGGGTTTAGTCTTCCAAGTTTTAGACTCATGCTGGAGTCCATCCTCAGGGAACTTCTCTCTAGCAGAATGTGCACATTCTGCTAAAGAGAAGTTCCCTGCAGATAGGCTCCAGCATGAGTCCAAAAGCTCTAAAGACTAAATCTCTGGTCCCAGTGACTGACCCGGATTGGATCCTGTTAATATAGCCTTACAATGAAATAGATTTAGCTCACTTAGTTGTGTTTCCTATCTGGTTTACCTGGGATGGTTGAAACATAGCAAGAGTGACTGATGGAATTCTTGGACCTCCAGGTTCTGGGGACTTAGTTATCCTTGGTTCTGAAGGGAGAAGCACTACCCCATTTGGGAGTTTATCTCAGCTCTCATCTCCTGGTTGAGGAACAGATTTCTAGAAATCCAATGTGTACCAATTATGCCCATTTTTGGACTGACAGGTCCTATTTATGGTCTTAGTTACCATGCAAGTGAACAATTGTAACACATTCAATATGGGGCTGTTGTTGCTGAGAAACTACAACTGGTCCAGAATTACTGTAAGTGGCATGAGCATTGATGGACAGGTCTTAAAATTCCCATATAATATGTCTTCTTTGTGAGTTGTGCTGATTACAAATACATTTTCAAATACAATTCAAGAAGTTGGTTATTACCTATAAAGCCCTACATGACAGAGGGACTAAGTATCTGAGCAGCCTTATGTTTTCCACACTATCTGTTTATTCTGTACAAAGCAAGATGGTTTGCTTTAGATTTTATCAATTAAGCAACATCATCCAGTAAATAGTGGATGTGGACCCTGTGTGTTGTGGTGCCTGCCCTGTGGAACAGCAGCCCCTCAAAACTCATTTGATTGAACTTCAAGTGTACCTTGGGTTTACCTTGTGGCCTTGGGTTAATGTATCTGGCAATCTCCTCTATGCTGAGGGTGATGTAGGAAAGTAATTGATATCATTGGTGTTATAATTTTTTGGAACATTTCTAGGTAATATATACATACATAAATATACCACAAACAGACAAACATGCATGTGTGTGTGCACACACATATAAACTCACACACACAAACACACACAGTGAATTTCTTGGAAAGATCCCTTTGGGCAAATCTTCAGATGTTTAATCAGTAAAGCTTGGATATAATATCTTATATTAACATTGTAGTATAAATGCTTTAGAGGAAACAGATTGTTATAAACAATTTATGGATCTGAGCATGGCACAAACCTGCACAGCTAAAAACTGCTCTGTAGTCTGAGGTACAATATAAATAATTAATAATTTTAAATAGTCTGATTTATGAGCACTTTTTATTTCATGTTAACCACATAAGCACCCATTATGGGAGCGATAAACTATAGTTATAACAAAGGGGCTTTATCTGTTATGCTATTTTATTTTTAATGAGTGTCTTGACTAACATACTATTCATCAACTCTCTGAAAATGTGATCTTACTATCAGGGGGAACCGGCTGAATCAGTGATGTGCATAAGATCTAAAGATATATTTCAAGAATATTGGCTCTGCAGGCAAGGAAAAGTATGTGGTATTTTGTTCATCAACAGATTTGTCTGTATCTGTATTCCAGGCTGATATTTTCAACAGCAGATGTTGTCAACAACATAAATTTTATCCCTAAGCAGGATTTTGTAAATCTTTATGAAGACTGATCAATTGGATGGTCATTCATGAATAATTATACTTAGCAATTCTTATTTATGGTTTTGCAGATACAGATTGTGTTCTGAAGGAATCTCAGAGGTAGGGTATTGAAATTCTTGACAGAATGTCCTTAAATCATCCCTCTCCCTCTTCATCTTAGATTCCCTCATTGAGGATTAATGAGGCAGAACTTTGAGCTAAGATTCAAATTCTCATCACAAATATCCATAGGATATTCACTACAGAAGTTTTTGTGACTATCCTAAAAAATGCCTGTTGTTGTTTAAATGTAATATTATGAAAATCCATGAAAACAAATATTAGCTATTGTCTAATTCAGGCACAATGTCCTTGTTTCTACTGAAATCAAAACTAAATAGCAACCAGTTTTGACTTTAAATCAATAACATGAAACTAACTAGCTGATTTTGGGCTAGTCCCTCTTTCTCAACCCTGGGAAGGAGGCCTGGATAAACCATTTCTGAAATCTTGCTAGAAAAACTTCAGGAACTTGTCCAGGCAGTTTCCAGGAGTCAACATTGACTTGCAGGCAATGAAATCAATCAATCAATTGAAAAAATAATGCTGTATAATTCTCCTAATTAGAAGGCTTCTTTGTTTTTTGAAGTTAATTCTAACTAAATTTGGATGTACACTATGTTTGCACAGAAACAATGTGAATGCAGCACTTTTATGTCAGTGTGGTTAGTGTTTTGCCAGGGGAGTGAACTCCTCAAATTGTGTTGAGAGATTCTGCATGTGAAATATGTCCTTTTGCACTGAGCATTGGCTCCTGCGACATAAATGTTTCCCATTAGAGAGAGGTACATTACATTGCCTGATAACTAATTGCTGCATGTGGCACACAGGGACCCAAAATCTGTGAATGGTGTGACCTCCAAAAGCTGTCACTACAATGTGGCTTTTAATGTGAGGAGAGAAAGGAGAGAAAGAAAGAGAGACTTTACAAACATGACTGGATAGTAATAATTGTATGTGTATTTAATTTTAATTACATTTAATTATAATCAAAATGAATTCAGATACAGTTTTCTTCTCTAGCAGCTCAAAGACCAAGGCCTGACTCTAGGCAAGAAACAGTTGCATCTTTCTGCTCTAAATGGACAATGATTAATTTATCACATCAAAAATGTTAATACAAATGGTGGCTGCTGATTATTTATAGAATTTAATAAATTCACATATATGGAAATAATTTAAACAAGTATATTTAGCAGATTTGCTAAAAGTAAAGAGGTAAATATTTTTTCAGGAAAACTGCTTAATTAATTACATTGAAAGGGTTTAATCATATATTTTATGACAGGAAAAGAAAACCAACAAATCTCATGTATGTAGCTAGCTTCAGAATCTGAAAAATGAGTTATTAAAATTAAAATATTGAAATTATCCTCAGCTGAATTGTGCAATCTGAAATTAGTTTTATTTCTCCCTTTTTACATCTAGTTTTGTGCATGGTATTGCAAATATATCCTTTGATGAAACACTGATATACACATATCTGCATGTGAGCACACATAAATATCAGACCCATGCAATAGCTTTAAATCTATATGTATTAACACTGAAGTCTTAAATTTCAAATGCTTTATCAAAGCATAAATGCATGTCAACTAAGATGCAAATGAATTGAAGAAATAGAAGTAACATGCTTTGGCATGTCAGTTTCAATAAACCTTGAAGTGAAGCCCAAACAGGAATGGATTTAACTGTTTGATTCCAACTCAAATCAGTTTTGTACCTATCCATAAATATATGCTCAGCTAGTTTTCCTCTGTCCAGTCATGACCGACTCAAGGGGGTGTGCTCCTCTCTGATTCTCAGCCAAGAGAGCTTGCATTGTTTGAGAGATATTTCCATCATTGTTTGGCCAGCATGAAAATATGGAACATAGTAATCTTCCTGTCAAAGTGCTACTTGTTTATGTACTCATATTTGCATGCTTTCAGACTGCTAGGTTGTCAAGAGCTGGGGCGAATAATGGGACCCCTCAACCTGTTGTGCAGTGCTTGGATCCCAAATCTGGCCTGTCAGCTTTCCAGCTACAAGCTCAGCATCTTAACCACTGAGCCAT